GAAAGCAGTAAGTAATAATTCTACGACAGTGACCTTATACACATGATTATATAACAGTATTTCGAGCGGAGAGACTCTCTTCCCTCTTAACCACTGACACGACAGTCGGACGATTTATTTAAAATTATTGCTGACTTCGTATATTCTAGCTGTTACTTACAATTCACCATTTTCTTCCTTTCCCATACACCACCATTTATTTCAGCTATCATCGTATCAATTACTGCTACTCATGAAAGAAATATGAAATCTTTGAAAGAAGCACATACCGTCGCATTGAAACGTATCAATGAATTAGAACAATTACTTCAAGAGAACAATATACCAATACCTCCTTTAACACCTAAAAGTCAATTTATAATGGCAAAGAAAACGTAACAATTAAACTGTATTTATCATCAAATTTCTTACGATAAAGTGATCATTTATCTCATTAAATCAACTACCATTTTTGTGAAAATAACCTCATTTTATTTACACTACTTATCATTAATATTAAGTAGTATAAAACTTCATGCGTCATTTCTTAGCGGACGTATTTATTTTCTAGCCGTCATTCATTACCAATTTCATTGATTGTGTGCAATATTTTATGACTTCACAATTTAGCTTCCTCATTTATCATCTTTCATAAAATTCAACTTCTATTTCCCTTCTCCGATATTTTTAAAAATAGATAAACTCTCATCAAAACTACCAAACTATAAATCATTCCAAAACCGAAAGTAGATTTTCAATGTTCAATCTAGTCATTTGTTCAAAATAGGACTCTTCGAAAATTTTTTTTTCATTCTTGATGTAGAAATTGATAAAATAGAAATAAATCTACATTGAAGTTTTATTTTATATTAGAATAATAATATTGCATTTTCTGTTAACTTTAATTCATTTTACGGCGTTTACTTTTTCTTGGAGGAATCAATCAAATCAAATGAGAATTTTCTTTTACACAGGAGAAATATACAAAATGTGTTGTATTACAGACTGACTGATAGTTTAAAACTATGCCATCTTTGTGATTGAAAACAATTCACATTGGAATAATAATAATAATCGATAATCGATAATCAGCTTTGTTGATGATTGCATTTATTTGAAAAAATAAAAATAGAAACAAGTTAAGATTTTAGAAAAATGGTATTTTATCAAGGAGTTTCTTTTTTCGTGCGATCAATAAATATTGAATATTGTATGAGAAAACGTTTTTTTTTCTTGTTCATTAGTTAATTAAAACACATTCATAATTAAATATACATCATTAGTAGTAGTAACGTGATTGATTGGTCGAGTGAAAGTTGATCGAATCTCTTATCGATTCGGCGGTAGGTAGATTAGGATATTGGTGTAGTGATTCATTCCATGTCTAGTTCACATGACTCGTCCTACTTGTCTTTTGACCTTGTTAATCATTCGTCGCTTTTATTGATGCGTGTGCATGCTTCTCTTACTTGTTACATATCCATCTTATTTTTGTCTGACTATAAATTGTTTAGTCATCCATCCTTTGTCTAGTTGAGTTGGATCACTAGACTTCTCCACTTCAATTCAGACAGACAGATACAACGTAGAACTTCGTACATAAGTACATCAGTTCAGGTTGCCATACCATGTCAGCACAGAGACGCAACTGTCAGTTCAAATCCAAGAGTGATAGCGATAGTAGAATTATTAGCAGTAATGGAGATTATAGTTCGAAGATATGATTCGATAAGTATAATTCAGTGAGATAAATTTAGAAGGAGAAAGATAGAGATTATGAGGAATTCAGAAGGTTAGAAATAAAGAGCGCACAAAAATTGGATGTTCAATTCATTCGCCGATTCGTTCATTCGCTCGCTTGCCATCCGGCACTCGAATATCAATTGCATGTCTGTAGTCTGCTGTTGTATTTGTGGCGTGCAAAAGTAGACGTATTCAAACCCTCATGTTCACCTTTTAATTTATAACCGTCAGGCGCTACTTACTCACGATCGCCTAGACCAGAGAATTACGAAGTTTGAGAACAAGTTGGTTATCGACCGTCACGAACCGAGTGATACCTTGCACACCACATTGGAAACAAAAGTTGATTTGATAACTTGTAGTAATCAACATCAATTTTGTGTAGCACCTTAATTGTTGATGGAACTACACCGACTAAATGGTAACAGGGTCAATGGTCTAATTGACTCAACATTACGTGCACTGTATTAAAATGTTAAGTGATGCAAGGTAGTTGACGGGTAACTGTCAAACAAATGCTTCTTGTCGCTCGTCAACAAAATTTGTCTTTAAGGTAGACGGGACAGATGCTTACGTAGGGCTCAAGATCCTGTCCTCCAGTTACATAGTCTTAAACGTACCCATTGAGATTCTAGTGCACACAATCTGACTCCATAAAGAACGAATGAGCCATGTACATAAATTATCCTTCTGATTTCGTATATTTCACTCAGACACTCCATTCGGACAACGGCGGTAAGGAAAAGCTGAATATGAATCATGCTGTGAGAATTCATCGTATTATTTCGTAAGAACGAGAGATGCAAAGCGAAGGTTAACGTGTCAAATCACTAAGTTAAAGGCTACTTAGTCTTTATATGCATGAAACGGGTACATGTATACAAATACATATGCAGCAGCATACATAAGTGCAATATACACTCAAGGTCACAGGTGAGTAGTTTGGCAAGGTCATACAGAAAGAGAGTAGAACAATTTATTCAAACAAATCATATAAATACGTGATAACAGAGATTTATTGCTAGTTATTCTGGCCGTATTTTGACTTAATCAACATGATACGATCAAAACTACAAGAAACATGACAGCCATCACAATTCAGTGATTATTCAATTGTAAACATATCAGACTTTTAGGTCAGTCATGATCAAAATAGCTTAGATGTTACATTTACGACTGTGCACTGATTGAAATCCAACATGCAGTACCAGTCCTCCTGATCATATGTACACCTTGCTGACAAGCGCCAACTAGAATGAAACTGTTGGGGATGTTAGATACCCAGAACTCGCTTGATAAATATCATTATCTTAGATTTATTTCATGGACCGACCGGTCGACCTTGAGATCACATTTCCCACCAGGAAAATCCTTGGCTGTGATTGGTTACTGTGTTATTTTAGTGTGACTCTCCCAAGGATGTCTCTATGGCGTATAAATCAACGCGATTTGAGTGCTTGGATTCATTGTGTGCTGGCTGGGTGTTTGTAGAATACGCTTTTTACACTATATCAAGACTTCTTGCTGGTACAGTTTGGTCAAGGGGTCACAGTAGCCTACTTGGACGCTGGTTCATTGTTTTGTTCTCGTTATTCGTCTTGTAGTGAACGAGAACACAGGTGGGGTAACCTGAATGCATTTAACGAAAATTACAGTGTTACTCAGTAAAATAGGAAAACCATATCGTAAATCGTTCATTTGCAAAATATCAGTTCATCATATTATCGAACTGGACTGTTCCTGTTGCAAAACATCAATTCATTGTCACTATTCATGCGTTTCATACAAATTCCATTGTGTTCCCACTCTTCCTTTCTTGATCTTCCCCCATCTTCTGCTGCCAGACATTACGTTGACGCTCACGTCATATACTACTTATAAGTAGCTCGCACCGCAGTCTAAGGTGAACTCGTAATAGTTTAAGCATACCTAGAGAGGAGCGTAACAGATACCTAGATTGAAAATCACTTGTTGAATGCCTATAACCAACCTAACGTGAAGTTCCTATTCATGTGATCATCTGACTGATCATGTTAGTTAATGTATATTTCGCGCAATATTCGTAATCAATCTTTGAAGTTATTTGCAAAGGCGTAACTGTACTTTCCCTCTCTTTTCAATGAATTTTAATTCTAACATCCTTCTCAGCTTATCAGTCACATTTGTTCTATTTTCAGCCGTACCCCTCGTGTCTACGTTTCAAACGTCGTTGTTGAGATCTCAATTTTCCTGTTTAAATCTATCACTGTGATATAAAGTTCGGTTCATATTTTTGTCAAGTTCTATGTCGAAACTAACCAATGAATAAAAGAAGATTTCAAGTGAAAATCTACCCCCTTCTCTCCATTGTCAACACCATGACATCAATCCAAAAATGATTGGTGCTGATTTAATTCCAACAAATACAGTAGATTATCTAAACTATAGCATTGTATAAATCAAAACTTAGAGTAAAATTATTTGCAACGCATTCATTTTTTTCAACGTTCAATATATAGCATTTCTTTGTGCTACAATTGTCTATTTTATTACAACCCAGCTGTTACCTAATTCTTGGTATTCTCGGACACGGATTCACTCAAGACGTTCTCCCAAGTCAGAACACAGTTGAACAGGAAATACAGATTATATTCCAACAACAAGGTTAGATAGAAGGAAGAGAGAAGACCCAAAGAAAAAAGACGTTGGTATATTTATAGTTTACTTACATGAGAAGATTTTAGAATGTTCCCTCAGTATCGGCTAGCGCTGATTGGTGGATACGAAAGAGCCAATCAACGTACAGAAACTCAATCATACTTTAATCCAATCTATGTCCCACTAACACTCTGGTTTATGAATGCTATTGCGTATAACAGCATACATGTCAACGGGAATTTCACTTCAGGCTTTAACTTCATTCGGCAAGTTGGTGTGCACTAATGTCTGAAAATGCTTAATATATTGAACTTTTATGGAACATTGAACAAAATATGCTTATCCCTCTCCTATACACTAATAGTTTAAAAAAAATATCAATTTCACAATGACTCACTTTTTACCAATCAATAAAAACAGTGGATGTGGTATATACCATGAAACGATCATCATACATACATACAAACATGAAATAATGGCAAAAAGTATTACCAATGGTTGGTTCAATAAAAGCTTCTTTTTTTATATTCTCATCATTACTGTTTGAACACACACATACATGTATATGCATATATATATATATATATATATATATATATATATATATATATATATATATATATATATATATATATATTAATCACATAGCAATTGAATAAGGAGGCACACAGTGTTGTGAATATGAAGAAAAAAATAAGGATTGACACAAAGAGAAGAACAATTTTTTTCTTCGGAAGGAAAGAACAGAACAGGACAGAACAAAACAATGTGAACATATTTGGAATGAATACACACTATAATAATAATAATAATATAAGCCTTAAGTTGCATTGATTGAGTTGCCTATCACACTTACCTACCTACCTACCTACCTAAGGAATGTGAACGTACCGTGTGTGTGTGTGCATGTGTGAATGTGTGCGTGTGTGCCAACTTCAATGTGTCGAATAATAGCATCAATAATAGTAATAATCAATAACAAGCGAAGTGATTCAGCGGCGACAAAAGAATAGCAGTAAACAGTAGTAACAACAACAACAACGACAAAATGAAATAATGCGCACAAGCAAATCAACAACAAATACAAAGAAAAATACAAACGAAAATCACAATTACAAAATTCAAAAGAAAAACACACACTAAATTAACGTCAGGAACAATTTAAAAAAAACGAAAAATTAAATCAAAATATCCTAAAAACCAGTGGCGTAGAGGAGAATAGATGTTACAGAGAGAGGAGTATGGCAGTGTTACAACCAAGTAGTCATCCAAGTAGTAGAGGTAGCCAGTTAGGAATTAAACTTCACTAATATCAATTCGTATCATGCTGATTTGTTCTTGAATATGACTGGACTTCTCATTCCATTCATTGGCTTCGTCTAAAAGATTAAAAGTGAAAAAAGCATATATCAATGTCCCGGTCTTGAATAACTGTAGCATATGACTACCACAAACAGTGCTGATGACCTGGTGACTGACAAAATCTCAGCACGGATACAGAAGGCTTGATTGACTTTTGCCAACTTGCGTCACTTATGACGAAGGTGAGATATCTGTTTGTTGACCAAAGGACGAGTCTAGTGCGGAGTAGTTCACTTCGTCCTACTTTATGGCTGTGAAACATGCCCAGAGAGAGCACAAGATATTCGCAGGTTACTGGTCTACGATCATATGTTTCTCCGAAGCCTTCCTCTTGTATCGTTGGACAACTGAGAGAGCAATGCCATCGTTAGGAAACGAGTACAAGATAGGGATGGCAGGTCAATAGATGAAGTAATGAAACTTCACCAGTTGAGTTGGTTAGGACATGTTTTACGAATACCAAACCACCGACTGCCTTGTCGAGATGTGTTTCGTGGTGTAGGAATGGGTTCGAAGAAAGTTAGGTGCGGTTAAACCAAACCATGGCACGAATCCATGAAATCACTGACAAGTGGACTAAGTCGTGGTGGTAGATTTAGGCTACCTGGTTAGGGTCTGAGAAACGAAAGTCACCAATGGTTAGAGACATTGAATGATAAGGCTCAAAATCGTGCAGGTGCATCCACTTGTTGTGTTCTCTGAAATCCTTATCTTCTGACAGCTGGTGAACTTACAAAGAACAATATTATTCAACTCGATAATCAATGCATAGTAGTATATAACCAGTTAGTGAACAAAAAAAAGTTATATAACTATAAATTACAGACCAATTGATTCAAAGTCTAGTTAGTGGTAGTAGTAGTCGTCATACTAGTAGGAGTAGTAGTGTGGTGCGCGCTACTTATAAGTAGTATATGACGTGAGTGAAAACGTAATGTCTGGCAGCAGAAGATGGGGGAAGATCAAGAAAGGAAGAGTGGGAACACAATGGAATTTGTATGAAACGCGTGAATAGTGAAATGTCAGACAATGGATTGATGATGGATTGAAGATTTGCAAATTAACCGTTTACGATATGGTTTTCCTATTTTACTGAGTAACTCTGCAATTGTCGTTAAATACAATTCGGTTGCCCTCACCTGTGTTCTCCTTAACTACACTGGTAGTAGTAGTAGTAAAAATAGTAATAATAGTATAGTCAGAGGGGTATGTTATATACTCGAATTGACATACATTCACAGATTGATTTTACTAACCTTGTAGAACTGATAATTCAGCAGCCAGATTTTCAGATTCTTCTTCTGCATGAACAGCTCTTTGAGTTGCCTGTAAATTGATATAAAATTTAAGAATTGAAAGATGTTCAACTCTTCGTTTATTTAAATATACATAATTCATAATTAAATGCCATTTTATGTGAAGTGGGAAAGATTTTCGTGCCTGCATTGTTCATTGTTCTGTATTTGTGTATATCCACGCGTTAGATCTTCCGAACAACACGAAGAACACTAACACTTATCGATTTATGGAATCGCAAACGATAAGTACATTGAATTTTGAAGTCATGCTCTTTTGAGCATCAGTTAAAATCGCCTTAATAACTGTTTTTCAGTAGCCCTTTAATGACCTGGTACGGGTGAGAGTGAGGAAAGTCTGCTCTCCGACTCAAAATGATCTCATATGATATATAGTTATGCAGAAATAGCCACTGACAAAGAAGTACTACTCACTACATTCTCGTGGCGACGGTGTTGTTTACAAAATCAAAAAGATGAAAACCGAGAATATATCCGGCGTTTGATCCGGTTTGACTGGGTACGGAGGATCAAATTAATAGTACGCATGGGCTCCAAGATCCCGAAGGAAGAAATAGCAAATGATTCTGTTACCGGTCACCAGTAACTAGGGAGATTACAACTACTGACGTCTCGCCACTGTTTTGTAAATTAGACCTGCAAGTGAAATGCTTGAGGAGTAGCCCTCCCAAAAAATCCATCCGTTTCAGTTTGGGCACCCGAGCAGTATTCCAACCCACTCACAAATTTAATAATTTATGTGGCACTTAAATACTTAGATTCCTCATTGTTTAAATAAAAAGTGGCTAAAAAACAGTTCCTTTCTAACTAATAAACAATGAGTTCAGTTCGAGACCCGGCCTTATCTCTTTTGGCTAAGACAGACGGATAGTAGTAACATGAATTTTAGACAAAAAGCGCCCGATTTAAAGTTGTTAGGATATTCATCAAATATCCTAAAGAAATTATTTTGTAGGTTTAATCCTATTGGTCAATATTTAAGGTCGTCCTAAATTATCAAGCTCGCATACTTTTAAATGTTCTTTCCTATTGGTTAGTATTTACGGTGAACCTAACAGTATAAATATGCATTGTCTGTAAAGCTTTAGGCTCCTCTTCTGTACAAAACCTCATATTTTCTGGGTGTTTGTAGAATACACTTTCTACGCCATATCAAGACTTCTTCTTCTATATAGTGAGGCCTTGAGACGCTCGGATTTGAGTAGCCTATCATGTCACTGGACTGTTTGTCTTCGCTCTCATTTACCGGCTAAAGTAAACTCGTAATAGTCCAAGCATATCATTTGACGAGCATAACAAAAGTCAAGGACTTAGATTAATTATATTACTATGATTATTATTATTATTACGGTCTTCAATTTATAGGTCGTCTCTTGACTGTGTGACCTTCAGCTGTTAGAAATACATTATTGTAACACAATATTTATTCTGTTCAACATGAAAAATTTTATGATGATGGCTATTATTATCCACGCGATAATCTGTAGAAAATTAACAACTATTTTGTGACTGCTATCCAACTGTATGATGAAAAGCTGTGAATCACAACCAAACAAGGGAAAAGGAAAGAAAAGTAATGACCATCATATACGATGGCCAGACACGATCAACAACAACCTACTGTAGGAGAGAACAAACCAGATTCTAGTGGAGGAAGAAATCAGCAAGAAGCAGTGGAAGTACCCACGTGGAACCCTCAAAGTAAAACAAAAAGAGGAAGGTCAAGGAACACATTACTCCGAGAAATAGAGAAAGATATGCGGAAAATGAACAAACATTGGACAGAACTGGAGAGGGAAGCCCATGACAGAGTTGGTGGGCGGCCTATGCTCCATTGGGGGACAGGCGTAAGTAAGTAAATAATATATACAATAAAATCACACGATCTATTAATAATTAATTAGTCGGAAGAGAAAACTGGATCATTCCAATTAAAATCTTTCACTACACAAAGATGTCAAGTCTGGAAATCGATTTCTTCTCATCTTATTTATCAACACGTGAGGTAATTAATTTTACTGTCTCATTGGGTTTATGAATAATTATTGTTAATCAGCCTGTCAATAAACATTAAATTATACTTGCAATCTATTTTCTTCAAATGTTTCCAATTTCATTGTGATGTATGTATACACTGTTCTTCCTTCGACTGAGCTCAAACTAAAGCAGGTGAAACTAGATTCCAACATGCAGCATTCAGACTGCAAGTCGGTTGTTTTAACCATTAAGACACACCAAGTCCATTGAACCATAATAATAATAATGGAATCTAGACGATAGTTTACGATGAATCTTACGCACTGTCAGTCAGATGCAACGTAGAACTTTGTACGAAAGTACATCAGTTCATGTTGCCATACCACATCAGCACAGAGATATAATTGTCAATTCAAATCCAATAGTAGAAGAGGTAGTAAAGGTATTAGAAGTAATCGGAGAGGTTTCGATTAGAAGATATTATTCAAGAAGTATGATTCAATGAGAAAAGTTTAGAAAGTCAAAACTAGAGGGGTTGAAGAATAAATAAGATTAGGATTTGAGAGAACACAAAGAATAAATGCACCGGCGCCATTGCGAACAATTTTGAGCCATGTCATTCAAGGTCTCTAACCATCGATTATTATCATCTCGCGGACCCCAACCAGGTAGTCGACAATTACCGACATGGCTAAGTCCACTCGTCAATGACTTCATGGATTTGTGCCATGTTTTGGTCTGGCCGCCCCTAACTTTCTTCCAACCTATTCCTACACTACAAAACAAAGCTCGTCGAGGCAGTCGGTGGTTAGGCATACGCAGCACATGTCCCAACCACCTCAACTGATGAAGTTTCATCACTTCGTCTATTGATCTGCCATTCTTACCTAGCACCCGTTTCCTAATAACAGCGTTGCTTCCTCAAGAAACAACCTTCAACGGTGTGGGCAGCCCGGAAGTGACAACTGCCCTCATACCCGTAACAGCACACGAGACCAAATTAGTCGAAATCAAATCCTTCCTACACCCCCTAATACTTCTCTTCTCTCCAAAACGAATCTTACGCACAGAAATTAATAATGTTCCAACTGAAATTCATACTAACAACCTAGAATAGCACAAACACTAAAGCGTCATTAAACAGTAAATCAGTATGATAAACTATCTGAGAGAACCAGAAACGAATCCTTCAACATACACACACGACTTGGTAGTTGAACCAGTCGGCTTTTCACAAGCTACTACTATATTCATATCCCTCTATATAATTACTATAGTTTAAACAAAATGGTAGTCACACGAATACTGCCATAAAATGTATAATTGACAACTAGATTCACATGTTGCCTACTACATAACCAATCGACCAACTAATCAATGATCAAAGTTTGTTAGGAAAACAACAAAAAAAACACCGAAAAAAATGGAGGTCAAGGTTAAACACCGTAAAATGGAGTATTTTTATTCAGTTTTGCCAAAATCACTAGATAACAAACACGAAGTGATGAGATGTGAAATTATCATCAATCACATTCGGTAAAAATGGTTGAATTATTTGAAATGTATAATGTTTGTATTAGAGAATTATGGAGATTGTTGTTTTATGTTGAAATCCGGAATCAATCATTGTTAGACTAGCATTAGAAACCTTGAATAACTGGACGAGTAGCATTTTTTTTGGCAAGTTAGTTTTTGACGGAATGGGATCGCCAAACCCATGTCCAACCCTCCTCCTTTACCCGGGGCTTGGGACCGGCAGTAGACCCGAAGGAGGAGGACATTAACACGTTTACATATCTGGGCAGCAGCATCATCAACAAGCAAGGTGGATTGGATGCAGGTGTGAGGGCGCGGATTGGCAAAGCAAGGACTGCATTTCTACAATTGAAAAAAATCTGGAACTCCATCTACAGTTGAACAACATCTGGAACTCCAAACAAACGTCAATCAACACCAAAATCAGAATTTTTAATACAAATGTTAAGACAGGTCTACTGTATGGAGTGCAAACTTGGAGAACTACGAAAGCCATCATCCAGAAGATACAAGTGTTTATAAACAGTCGTCTACACAAAATACTTCGGATTCGTTGGACAGACACCATTAGCAACAACGTACTGTGGGAGAGAATAAACCAGATTCCAGTGGAGGAGGAAATGAGGAAGAAGCGGTGGAAGTGGATAGGACACACATTACGAAAAGAACCCAACTGCGTCACAAGACAAGCCTCCACTTGGAACCCTAAAGGAAAAAGGAAGGCCAAGGAACACATTACGTCGAGAAATAGAAACAGGCATGAGAAGAATGAACAACAATTGGACGGAATTGGAAAGGGAAGCCCGAACAGAGTTGGTTAGAGAAAACTGGTTGGCGGCCTATGCTCCATCGGGGGTAACAGGCGTAAGTAAGTAAGTAAGCACTGGACGATCGTTTTGTCCTGGTATGGGATTGACTCATCAGCAGGGTGCATCCGCAACTCCTGCAACCCGAAGGATTCAAAACCGGGACCTTCAGTCATGTGCGCCGGGCCGGCATCAAACGGTGTTATTGTCTAACCCTAACCAATCAACCGTTAGATGCCAGCTCAGTAGTCCAAAGGTTAGGTGTTCGCGTACAAGACCAAAGCTCTTGGTTTCGAATCCTGCGAGTATCAAGAGTCGCAGATGCGCACTACTGATGAATCCAATGTCAGGACGAAACGGCCATCTTTCAGTGCTTCCAGGTTTCTAATGGTGGCCCAATAATGATTCATTTATGACTTCAATGCGAAATGTGTAAGTTTGCCAAAGTAAATCCCATCCAAACTTAATTAAACCAGTATTATTCCACTTTGATATGCAAACAAATGATCTAGTAGTCATCGAATAAAGTTTATTACTGATATATTTGCCTAAGAATAATCAAAATATATGATGTGCTTATTGACTTATCATGACAGATTTTCGATAATAAAAACTTGTACATTTTTGCTATCAAACTCAGGAATACTTGAAAACTCATTTTGGATGCTTTCCGTTAATATGCAAAGGCTGTCAGTATACACATCGATAAAAAATTCTGTGTTGATCAGTATTAGATAATAAAACCAAAAGAGTAAGGGACCAGTATTTGGTTACATGTAACAGTGAACGTATAAATTCAAATATGAATTGTAATTGAAACAAAGTGATGTGTGTTAGAATATTCATCCAATATCCTAAGAGAATTATTTGTAAGTCTAATTCTATTGGTCAATTCCAATTGGTCGTCCTAACTATCAATGTTACAGACTTCAATGTTGTTTCCTATTCGACCTAACTATACAAATATGCATTATCTGTAACGTTTTATGACCCAGATCCTTAATCCGGAATCCTTATCCTCTTCTGCACTCGGACCTTGTATTTTCTGGATGTTTGTAGAATACATGTTCTACTACATATCAAGTCTTCTTCTTTTACTCAATAGGGGGTTTAAGACGCTCGGATTAGAGTAGCCTGTCGTGTCGCCGGATCATCGATCGTCACTATCGTTCACCGACTAAGGTAAACTCGTGTTAGTGGGACATAGATGGAATTAAAGCATGACTGCGTCAGCTGCGCGCTGATTGGCTAATTTCCTATCCAATCAGCGCCTGATCGATTCTTGGAGAACAGGGTAGAAAATTCTCGTACTGTTAGCTGCATGCTGATTGGCTAAATCTAATCCAGTCGATCACGTGAATTTCTATCCAGAAGCTTCTCATGTAAATGCTATAAAGAAACTAACGTTGTATCTATTTTTGCCTTCGCCTTCGCCATCACCTTTGGCTTCTTATTTCCATTTAACCTTGCTATTTGGAATATAATCTTTTCCTGTTCAACCGTGTTTTGATTCTTGGGAACTTGTCCAGTGTATTGTGGTCAGAGAATACTAAGCAATAGGATTTAGTCGTAAATTATTTTAAGCAAGCATTACAACAACTCGTAATAGATCAAGCATATCAAGTGACTTGGTCACGTGCGTTCGTAACAATGTAAAATAAATGACAAAAATCGAGAGCTATTTTCAGGCATAATGTTTCAATGACAGTAAAATCTGTAAATTACTAACATTTATTTATGTCAGTATAGTGTTGAGGAAATTTTCGAGTTTCATTGAAACCATGAACCGATGATCGTTGTTAGACCACCATTAGAAACGTGGAAGCACTGGACGGTCGTCTCGTTATAGTATAGGACTCATCAACAGTGCGCATCCACGACACCGCAAGCTAGAATCGAACTCAGAACCCGCAGTCTAACATTGATCGGTTTTGGGGTTTCAATCTAATTATATGACTAGTTTATCTTAAGCATTATAAAATTTTTAATAATCCATCAGTTACTTTCATATTCCCTTTCATTTTCAAATCATTGCAGTTTAAAGGAAACTCTTTTATGCTATTCCCCTCAATTAGTTTAGTTGTATCGTCCTCATGGCCTAGTCATTCACCTATTCAACTGTGTACTTTTTGAGTTTGATTGTCAGCCAGTCACCTGACTAGTCAGCGATGGGATAGTTCTTTTATCTTTTTTGCCCTTAAGATTATTCAGTTACAAACGCAAATATCATGAGTGGTAGGCCTGAATAAAGTAACCTGGCACATCAACACCCTAAAAAGTTTCTCTCTGGAAAACGGTTAGAGGGAACTGGATCACACAATCTCGGGATCTAGTCACAGAAACTTCCTCAGTATTTTTATATTTTGCCTAGTTTTAAAGTGACTTACGACCTGCTTAGATTTGGGTAGCATGGCAATACTACTAGCTATGACAAAAACAAAAGGCTTCAAGTCAAACATAAACATGTACTTTGAAAATGAGTTACATTATATCGCTTCAGGTAGGTTACTATTTTATGCAGCTATGTCAATCAGTCAGTTGCAACGTAGAACTTCGTATGTAAGTACATCAGTTCCGGTCGCCATACCACATTAGCACAGAGACGCAACTGTCAGTTCAAATCCCAACGTGGTCATGTAAAAGATTCGGGTTCTACGATATTATTCAAAAAGTGTAATTCAGTGAAATAAGTTTAGAAGGAGGAAGGTAGAGTTGATGAGGAATTCAAAAGATTAGAATTTCATAGAACACAACGAGTGGATGCACCTGCAACGTTGTAAACGATTTTGATCCATGTCATTCAATGTTTCTAACCATCGGTTACTATCGTCTCGCAGACCTCAACTAGTTAGTCTACACTTACCAACATGACTCAGTTCACTTGTTAGTGACTTCATGTATTTGTTTCATGTTTTGGTCTGGCTGCCCCTCGTTTTCGAGCATCCATCAGTTTAGTAGATGCTACTGAGATCCACGGCTTCTTCCTAGCCTTGTGATTTACCTTGTTACCAGATATCACCGCCGTTTCCACAGCCTTTTTGATATCATTCCAACCTGCCTCCGGGTGGGAATCACTTGCATGGTCGCCTAACTCTCTTTCTAGTTCCTCTTGAAATATTTTCTTAGCTTGATTATCACCAAGTACAGCCCTAAGAGACTTCCTTACAGTGTCTTTCTTACGTCCAGTAAGCCTCAAACAAATACGCGCCCGTACTAGGGCATGATCTTAATCTAAACATGTGCCCCAGAACGAGCGACAGTCCTCTATCGAACCCCTCCATCGGTGGCTGATGGCGATATGATCTAGTTGCGTCCAACGTTGAGACCATCTTGGGGGTCGCCGCTTGAAAAGATGTTTTTCCTTATGCTTAAAATTAGTGTTTGCTAGAAATAGGCGGTTATATGACCAAAGTTGCAACAGACGGTCGCCATTATCTGTTCTCTGAGCCGCGACACCATAACACCCACCCAGGTGTCTTTCCTTTTCACGCAGTCTACCTACTTGAGCATTAAGGTCACCAGCTATTATTACTATATCAGAGCGCTTAACTTTTTGGAGGAGGTCCGAAAGCTTTCTGTAGAACGCATCTTTCTCCTCGTCTGAACTGCAGTCAGTGGGGGCATAGGCAGATATGATGAAGAGGCAACGGCAAGTGTCCCTATCCTTCCGAATCCTTACTGTCCCGTTTAGGCGGGCTGCGCACAAGCGACTGTCTACTGGGACCTAGTCTAGGAGAGCTAGTTCTGCCCTACGACTCAATTCTATACCTACCCCAGTGAGACCCCTGGAAGCAGCATCAAGGCTATTGGATACACGAAGAGTAAATCGGACTGCTTATTTATTTTGACAAGGCGAAATCAGATTAATGACTGTACTAGGATCCTGTATGCGCGTTTCCGAGACGCAGTATACATCGATGGCTCGAGGTTCTAAAGTCCTAGCTAATGATGCCTGTTGCCCTATTTGACACAATGTCCGTATATTAAAATCTCCTACATAAAGTCTAGAGCGGGGTTTCAGGAAACCAGGAATAACTTTTCGTGAACTCGCATCGTTTGCATCAGCGGTGCAGTGAGATAAAGGAATGTGAGTAGAGTTAGTCGTGGAGATAAGAGAGATGTTAGAGGGTGTAGGAAGGATTTGATTTTGACCAATTCGGTCTCGCGTGCTCTTACGGGTATGAGGGCGGTTGTCATTTCCCGGCTGCCCACACCGTGGAAGGTTGTTTCTTGAGGAACCTGGAAAAGAAGATAGATTAGTGTTGGTCTTAACGACCTGGGAACGTGACCACAGAGCCCAAGGAATAACTGCTTGAGGCCGGTCACGCACGACGTTTTTATTAAAGGTTTTTTGAGTATTGGCTTTGCTCTTAAAGGCCCTTAGTGGGCACCCTTACCCAAGGAGACGGAAATCCGTGCTACAAGGTGAGGTGTGACATGTTTAGGGTCGACCTTCTCTAACCCCTTCCTTTCATGTGAGAAGGCAGCGTTGCTGCAGATGCTGGTTGTCCGAGGGAAACACCTTACTGCTGTCACACCCTTCTGTAGTCAGCAGTACGACTTCGCCCTCAGACCTTGGGTAGCTGCTTTTAGTCTCATCGTTCTCCAGTCGACCTGCCTGGCATGGTAGAACCTTCAGGAACATATGTTCCAGCCAATATAGCTCATGACGATAGGTCATGACGATAGGCAAGCCCAACCTCCACGTCAAGGTAGCAGCTACGGTCGGGTTGGGTTATAAAATGGATATCTCGCATACGCCATAAGTGACGCAGGTTGGCAAAAGCCAATCGAGCCTTCTGTATTCGTGCTGAGATTTCGTTAGTCAGCAGACCATCAGCGCTGATGATACTCCCGAGGTAAGTGGAAGCGACCAGCACGCCCAAGCTACTTCACTGCCCATCACTAGTTTAGGTGCCGACGCAAGCTAATCTTAAAGCAACATTGTGCATTTCGACGGGGAGAATCGCATACCGAACATGCTGCATTGTTGCTTAGGGTAGTCAGAAGAACTGCATTTTGCCAGCATCCTCACCAAAAATAGAACTATGTCATCGGCAAATCCTTAGGCATATGGTAGAAGGTCCACTACCTGAAAAGTCTGATGAGGATTAATGTTAACTCTAAATGCATGTGTAGGACAAAGTTAAACAAGAATGGAGAGTGGACGGCTCTGACGGACATACACGTAAAGTAAATAATTCCAATGACCATTCGCCATAAGCTCTCACCTGACTAGTGATGTTCCTGAACTACGCTGGGATTTGACCCGATAATTTCATCACTACTAGGCTAGTGGGTTATGGCACCTAGAACTGATGCACTCAAGTGGATAAGTTGAAAAATAAACTACCTCACAGAAAAAAATTAACAAGCAAACACTATCCTCGTCCCTTACGAGATATCCATGCTTTCCACAAAAGACGTTCGTTAACGTTAAAGACCAAGAAACCGAGACCTTGTATATCGACAGTCAACGTTGTCATCAAATATAACCTTACGAAGATGCTGAATGTGGATGTTCTACGTTCAATTCAAAACTAGCGAATTATCAAATCTCCTTATAAACAGGGAAAATATGAAGGTTACTTACGGAGTTAATTTGTCCTGTCACTTCCTTGATTTTTTCTTCTAGCATTTTTATGCGCTTACTTGCCTGTAAAGGGATAAAAATAATCATTAAAAAAAAGCAGAGAGAAGCTAGATGTGCAGCAACTCATGTCATGTATCACCAAACATTACAGTTATTTAAATGAAAAATGTAATGAAGTGGAGAACCAAAAAAATAATGAGCG